ATAAAAAAAAAAGAATTGTCTAAATCAGAAATTGAACCTAAATCTTTCATGAGCTATTGTTTTTAATATTTTAAAAAAAAAAATTTTCACTTTTTTCAATCAGTACTGTAATCTTATCCTGCTGAACGCACAAACTGATATTAAATTTAACTTTTAAATCAAATTCATATTAAAATTTTATATGATATTTTATAAAAAATATAATGTCAGTTTTTATAAAATGTAAGAATGTTAACATTTTGATAATATCACTATCAGTTTTCTTCCTAAAATACAATTTTCTTAAAGTAAAAACATATATTGCTTAAAATGTTTTATTTCAGATGATTATTGTATGATTAATAAAATTTTGATAAATAAAATGAAAATTTTATTATAAGATTTAATAAAATAAAATAATTATAAATTTCATTGAAAGCTATGAAAAATATTTCAATCAATGTCATCACAATTCTTTAAGATAACATCATAAGTATAAAAATATAATTTTATAAATTATGTCAGAAATAAATATTTTATTAAAAATTACTTAATTTTTATATTTATCTTGCATCAAATACAATTAAATATTTGCTAAGGAAAATAATTTATTCATTATATTTATATCTATATTTAATAAATAATACATGTATATTATAATAATATATTATAATAATATATATGTATATTTATTATTAATAATGTTTAATAACTTTTAATATTTTTTTATTTAAAAAAAATATGTCTTGCTTATATATATATATGCTTATATTTCATTATCAAAATAACATTCCACAAACAGAGTAAAAAGAATTGTATAAATCTAAAATATAATATATAAAAATTATTGTATGCTATTTTTATAATAAAAAAATATTCTAAGTGATTCTAAAATTTCTCGTTCTAATCTAGAAGAAAAAATAATCCATTAATCTCAGTTTCTGAAAAATACCAGATTTTTTAAAATATATAAACAAATATTTTATTAAAAATAAAGTGATAAATTAAAATTAAACACACTAGAATGTTTGATTTCATTTTAAACAGTAAAAGAGAATTCTTTGAACATATAAATTATAAATATCAAATTCTTATAATAATTTGTATCTAGCTTTAAAAAGTTATTTTTATAAAAAGTATTATGGAATAATTTAATATATTTAATAATATTTTTATATTTTTATAAAATATTGTTTATTTTATAAAATTTTGTTGTGCAATATTGAACCCTTAGACATTTTTGAAGAAAAATTATTCAAAAAAAAAAATTAAAACAATTTTGATATTATAAAAATTATATATGCATTATAAAATTGATAAATCTAAAATAGCTTTGTTTCTTAAAATAAAAAATATATTTAAATAATTTTAAATTTTATAAAATGTTAATATTTAAGGCAATAATATACTAACATTTATTTAAATAAATAATATAAAAATTTATAATGTAATATATTCATTTATAAATTCATTAATACTAAAATTCAATTTATGTAAATTATATAATGAGAAAGTATAAAAAATATTATATAAATATTTATATAAGATTCATTTTTTTTTTAAATTTATATTGTTATTTATTTAATTGCAGCTTATAAAATGTAAGATTATTAATATTTATTTATATGTTATAATACATACCTCCACATATATATATATGTTTTACTTTTGATTCTGATTCTATTTTTATTAAATTTTTACCAAAAAATTTACACATGATAAAATTTGTATGAAAATTTGAATATTTCAAATAATTTAGAAGTACACGTAAGTATAGAATCTAGATAAAGAAATTTCATATTAGATAACAAAATTTATGTAAAAATTCATATCAAACTATTTAGAATTATACATTCTATACATGTATATGTATAGAATGTAGACCATATGCAGACAACTAGTTATATTAATTGTACTTAAAAAATTAATTATAGAAAATGATAATATTACTATGTGTAAGGTATTAGTTACAAATATACTGATATTATCTTTCTTAATTAAAATAATCTAAGATCTCTGAATCTTAAAATAATCAAAATATACATTATTTACAATTTTATTCTATTCTTTTCAATTTTTAAATTTTCTGCTTACAAATATGACAATAATGTTTAAAAATGGAATGAAATAGTATTTATAATCGGATATATTTATGATTTTGAACAATTTATTCTTAATATTCTTTAAAATATTTTTTTCATGATAACATAGAATTTGAAAAATAAATAGGTAAATTAGTAAAATGTATTGAATTAAAAATAAAAAAAAAATGTATTGAATTTTCTATAATTTTCTATAATATATTTTGAATACAAAATAAAATATTTTTATTTTATTTGATTTGATTTAATTTTGAATTTATATCTGCACTTCTATTAATTTTTAAAAACATTATATGATGAATTTTTTAACAAAAACAAATTTTTATTTTATAATATTCTATAATAATATTTTATGTTTATTAAAAATCTAAGAAAATATGTATTTTTTAAAATTATAAAAATTATTAAGTTCATATCATAAAATTTATTTGATTAAAATTATGAAATGAATTGATTTATTGAATAAAACTTGTGTAAAAAAATTTGATATATAATATATCATATAAATTACTTTAAATATTTATTTTTTTATTTTAAATATTTGATCAGATTCAAAATGTTTTATTCATAAAACTGTAAAATAAAAATCCATAATTTTTTGATAAATAAAATAATTTTGTTTTAATAGATAATTACCTTATACATAAAAGAAAAATAAAATCATATTCATTTAATTAATATTTTCAAAAATAGAAACAAAATTGTTTTTGCATTTATTTTGTAATATATTATAATTGAGTTAATGCAAAATATTAAAAGCTTCTATGCAAAATCATTTGATATAAATGATTCCATTTAAATCTTTTATAATTTTTATAAGAAAACATATTTTAATCTGAAGTTTTATTGCTTGTATTTATAAGCAAATTTTGAAAAAAGTATAGAACTTTTTCATAAATTTATTATAATATGAACTTGAATTTTTTAAAAAATATTTTCATAATAAATTTTAATGGATATATAAGAAAAAGTTCTTAAAAATAATAGTTTTAGCTTAAAATAAAAATTAAAATTTTTTTATATTTACAATAGTAAATAAATTCTTCATCAATATAACAAATATGTAATAAATAATTTATTACATATTATATTATATTATATTATATTATATTATATTATATTATATTATATTATATTATATTATAATATAATAATATTATATTATAATAATATTAAAAAATATATATCATATATTTTATTATATATAAACATATTAATAGTTATAATTATATTAATAAATTATAATAAATATAATAATGTTAATAATCTTAATAAATTATTTAGTATAAAGTATTAGTATAATGATTTTATAATTATAATATAATATATTGTAATAAAATTAATATCTATTGATTTTATTATAAATTTATTTTAATATATTTTAATAAATAATTTGTTTTTATGAAACTTTTATTTTTATTACTGATTCTAAAATATAAGAACACTTTTTAAAAAAGTTTTTATTAGAATGATAGATTTTTTTCACAAAAATTTTGTAAAAACCAATATTCTCCTAAATGAAATATACAAGAAAATTCGAAAATTAAAAAATAAAATTTTTTTAAAAATTAAAATAATTATTTATTTAGATCTTTACTTACAAAACAATCTCTTTTATTTCTTATTTGTGATTTCATACTAAAATGTAGTTTTAATTCTAACCACTATGAATGTTGTAGTCTTATTCTTCTGAATCGATAACGTTGAAAGTGACATTAAAATGATAATGATATTTTGAGACTTTTTATCCAAAAATAATATTATGAAATAAAAAAATTGTTATACATAGATTTTATTTATGCATTATATTATGTTTAGTGTTTATATAATAAATATTATTTTTATATAAAATATTGTTAATCTTTGCTGAAAATTAAGTTTGAATTTGACTATAGATAATAGAAATATGATTACATTCCGCTTATATATCATCATATGTACATCAGTTTATAGTTATCAAAGTTATTAGATGTTGATAAAAATGGTAACACGAATAAAATTTTATTTCGATAATGTCGATAAATGATGATTTTTTGTGACTATAAGGTAACTAATAATCAATATAATTTGTCATTTCTTTTTTTTTTATATATTATCTTTGAGAAATTAAAAATTATTTTTATGGAAAAAATTGTTTTTAAAATCTAATATTTCAATTCATTTGATTTCTTTCATTATGTATTTATTTAATATATATTTATATTTATAATATTAATATGAAACAAAACATAAACATCTTATATTGTATTAAATCTTGATTTTTTTTGTTATTTTATGCGACAAAATAAATAGAAATAAAAAATATTTAAGCTCAGCATATTAATATTTAAAATTAAATATTTCTCTCTATAGATTTTTATAAAAATGATATCAATGAATCAGATTCTATCGATTTATTGCAACGTTTTTCAAATGATATAAAAATAGAAAATATATTTATATAATGATATTAGATAATATATATGAATTAATATAATTTTTGTAAATTCATGGATTTAGATATATTATATTCAAAATAATTTTTCATATTTATTATATGAATAACATTCTTATTATACTTCTTATTATATAATAAAATATAAACTATATATACTATAATAAAACATAGAAAATGTATTATAATAAATATTACGTAATATTATAGGGCTTTTATGTAATTAATATATCATTTGTATAATGATTTTATAATTTTTAATATAAAAAAAATTAAATATTTTATCTTATTTCACCGAAATAAGTATTAGTTAATAAAAAGAAAAAAGATAGTAAAAAAGATTTAAGATAGTAAATTTCAATTTCTGTATGCGCGCTCGAAAGAGAAACGAGAAATCAAGAGGTCTCCCCAGCAACAGAATTTAATAAGTCCAGCAACAGCCACTAGAGGTGATAGTATCGCTAACGCGGTTGAGATGTTCGAACCAATGGTAGCACTTGGCAACGAACGGCGGGATCAGTCAGGTTAGCCCATTGGTCGGGCAATCGCCAAGGGAGCTACGGTGGGACAACGGATAAACAGATTTCAAAGTTTCGAAGTGCTTGCAATGTGGTGCGTAGTAAGCCGCTGAAACGTCAACGAGGTGAAACGTATTCAAACTATTTTGTTTCGTTTCCTGTGACAAATCATAGGAAAGAAATTTAATATGTTCTTTATTCGGAAACAGTTCGTAATTGTGTTTAAGAAGAGGTAGTTCCACCGGTATTTGTTGAAACAGATTCTCTCCTTAAAAAGCACGGAGATGGATGAGGTAGAAAACGTAAATATTACCGAAACACCTCGCATCACGATAAATGCGAGCAGTCGCAATTCTCATGATAGTGTCGATAGTGGTTACTTGACTCTTCTTTCACCGCCACCATCACCGTCAGTGCCTTCATCTTCGTTTATAGCCTCCGAACCCATCGAGGAAGATGTGGAAATGAAACTAGTCATCGTGCCTCAGAGCACACCCCAGGTAACCACTTCACCTAGACGGAAGACACCACCACCACCTCCACGTATTGTTATCTCGCCGACCTGTAGAAAAGCTAGTCCCGCTATTAGTTCGGCAGACAATCAGAAATTAAGCAAGCTCTCTATCACGTATCTTGCTGCTATCAAACCAAAGAGGTTGGATTTCAGTCATCGCGTCATATCTGCTGCTTTGCATCATAGTAGAGCTACTCCAGATTACACAGGTAGAGAAACAGTGGATATATTGGCACTTCTCGGAGACAAAAGCAATCATTGGAGAATAGTTTCTAAAATATTGTCTTTCCTTGGACCTCAGGACCTTTGTTCCATTAGTATGGTGTCTAAAACATGGAGGAGAATCTGTTTCAGTGATTCTAGGGCCAATGTGAGAAGACTGACTCATATAATACTCAGACAGAATGCTAAAGAGAATTTAAAATTAATCAAAAAATCAAAAATAGAAGGAGACATTCAAAGCAGTCCTAGAAGTAGATACGCTAGAAAAGGGTACTTATTAGAAGTGCAGAATCTTCTTCAAGTACAAGGAAATAAACGGCCACCTAGCAGTCCACCTGTTTCTCCAAGCAAAGTAAAATTCCACTCTTTTGTCAAGGTAAGTAAATTTTTTATTTTTTCAAATATATTTAGATAGATAGTAGTTATAACGAGATTAAGATATCAAGTATATATTATAGATATATTATAAAAAATACTGTATAAAAAAGTTTATGGAATATATTATGGAATATATTATACTTCAAAATAATATATGTTAGATATTATTACTCTAACATATAGTATATATTAAAATAAACTTTTATAATATATGATTTTTATTTTATACAAAATAAACAATAGATAAAATCAGATAAATATATTATATAATTTTAATATATAAATATATTAAAATTATTTAATGTTTTTTTCTATAGAGTTAAATACATTTTTATTATCTCTTATAAACGAATTTTTATTTTACAATTAAAAAATAAATCTAATTCTCTATAATATATATAATATTATAAAATTAAATTAAATAACTAGTTCATTAACCTATTTGTACGAACGTGAGAAAAGTATAGTTACTACATAATGTGTAATGCGCAAACGTTGCGTATTTAAACGATACACAAAGTTTCTGTCTGCGGATCGTATTCGATCCCTGTAAAGAGAGAATTATATGTTCTACACTAACAAGGGAGTTATATTCTTCTCTCTTATCATAAAACTTATCCTTAACGGTTTGAGTATTATAGCTAGACATTTGAGTATTATAGCTAAATTTTAATGATAATTTATTACATTTTTATTATTAAAAATTGAAACTCAAAAAAAAAAAATATCAGTTAAAATTTGCTACTGTATGCAGTTATTATTAATTTAGGGAAAAATTGATTATCACTTTAATTTTAGATTAAAATTTAAATTCATACAAATATTATGCGAATACTATTGTTCATTTTTAACGAGTTATAATTAAATTTTAAAAAATTTCATTCTTTGTCACATTATAGTTATTAGTAATAGAATAATACGATACAATAAAAATATATTTTAAATATATTTTTCAAATTTTATAAAAATATTTTATTCTGAAAAACTTTTCATCATTTAAATTGTTTAATTTCGTCTCTTTAATTCAAGAATTTCTATTATCTAAAATCAGCAAATATATCGAAAATACTATTGATTTTAATATATAATGTAAATTTCTAATTTTTTATCTATATAAAAAATTTTCAATAATTCGTTTGTTTAATTAATTTATATATACACTTTAATAAAATTAAAATAATGTTAATTTTAATCTTTAATTAAAATATCCGCATATTTATCTGCGGAAATTATATTGTGGTCTGTGATATGTTATACGTGTTGTAGTTAATACGATTGTTTGCAAGTTAAAGGTATAGTAATTAGAAGTGAAAGTAAGCATATGTATATTCTAAACATATATACTTCGATCTTTTTTGAATAATAAACGATCTACATCACCTTTGCAACTTCGATTAACGAGAAAACTGTAATGTGACGAAGAGAGATATCCGATATGAAATATCGTCAGCCGTATCTAAACCTGTAATTAGGTTGCTTATATTTTTTTCTTCTTTCATCGTCATTATACCGATCTGAGGTTATGTTTTTACGAACAGAATTTTTTCAAAGAATAATTATGCGGATAGTAATCGACTAGAATCGACTCGTAGTCTAGAATTTTTTTTTTTAATAATCCTATGTGAAACTGTGTGGTATACATCTCAGCGGCGTAATTTGCACACGAACGAATTCGAATTAAACAACATAATTGTTTCGTTGGTGAGATCATCTGTTTGACATTGATTTATTGTAATTTCTTCTTTGAAACGCCGCTTGCTCGTCAACCGCGACGGTAGATATGTTCAACCCTGAAAAATTACCCTCTCGCAACGGATGACCTTCTTGGAACATATGTATAACAAATTTTGCATTTTTTAGGGTTAATTTGATAGCATTGAGATGCAAAGTACGTATACGCATATTTCTCAAAGTTAATTTAATCAAAGTTATTATATATGATTTATTATAATTTATATATAAAATATAAATTATGTTTTCTTTGTATAGAATATATTATTTCTAGATTTCTTCGTGTAAAAAGAATTTTATTAATATATCCATCTTAGAAATATTCAAATTTTAATAATATTTATCTAAATATACCAAATTTGTTGGTATAATAAATTTTATAATCTTTTCCTAAAATTTTTATAAATATAAATCTTTAAAAATACTTATAAATGTACTACTGGTTTCTTTTGTTCCTTATTTTTCAAACGAAGAGATTTCAATCTTAATATTCTACGGATTATATTTTATATTGGTTGCATTGTGAATACTTTACAAGTGTTCTATTGTTTCCTCACTCGTTTTTATTGCACATTTTACACGCTCAGTTATTATTGATAAAATGAAAGTGCATTTATCTTTTATTGTTTACCTTAATACATACCTGAAATATATACCTGAAAATTGTGTTATGGTCTTTTGTATGCAAACGATATATTTAGATCTATGTCTATACTACATTTTCCTTTCCATCTTCGATTCAATATTAAAATTTCAATACAAATGTATTACAATTATTGTCTCTTATATTTATTATTTATTAATTAATGAGGCAAAACGATCGAAAAAATAGAAAAGAAGTACATTAAACTTTCGTATAATATAGATCATACGTTCAATTTATTTGATATTTATTTGCTCTATTTTCTCTCTTTATACAATGTAATCTAATAATATTTTGTTCCATTATATATAAATAATAATTTTTACTTATGTGAAGTCATTTGTGAGCCTTGCTAAAAGAAATTTTTCTATTAAAATTATATTAACACAAATTATACTATTTACTAAAATAGAATGCTTGAAAAAAATTAACTTTTTTTTTTATCGACTCAGACTTCCAGATAAAAATATTCCAAATTTTAATAAAATTCCTTTCTATTTCTAATAATTTATATCTAAAATTCTTTCAACTTTTTAACGAATTATCAATTTAACAGCAGTTTTCTTACGAAAAATTAACAAGTTCTCAGAATAAATATAATAATATAAGAAGATAGCAAATATTACATTTTTTTTTTTATTCATAACGAATGTGCCCATCAAATATCATTAAAAATTAAAATTAACGAATCAATAAAGAATATCTAAATAATATAATATTTTCGAATTGTCGAATTCAGGTTATGCAAACGGATCTCTCATTTATCATATTATTCCTCGTCAAAGTGCTAGGTGATTCCGTTCTAGGGGAGAGGAAGCGCATGCGGACTCGTTTCCCTTCATTCATAGGGGCGAGCGCGTTAATAATAATAACGTGTCTATTCCGTAGTTGGGAGTAATGCGCCAACTACCTGCCATTAACACCTTCAGCTTTCCCTGGTGTGTATTTCTTCTCGCTTTAAATTACGATAGCGGTAGATTAGGGAGGGGTAGACGCTTTGTTATCACTGGCGAGTAACAAAAGCTCTCGCGCATGATGGCATGCGGCACTTCAAGGTCTTTTGTGTTGCACGCATCGCGATAACAAAGTATTCATTAGCCTGTTTATCAAACGAATTACCATTTCATACCGCGAATTAATTTGTTGCAATCTTAAACGGTCATCTGACTTCACGTCAATTGGTAAATTTTTTTTTTTCACGCGATCAAATATTTTTTGTCGCCCAATATTGTGATAACTATCGTATGAACGTAAATATTAATACGATATATGTATATATATATATATATATTACTTGTATTATGTTGCAATGTTAAAATATAAACATGAATAACATAATAATACAATGGAACGTCGGTTATTCGAAGATTCAAATGACTGATTGTTTGAATAGGATAAATAAAATGTGTATATTTAACATTATTAATTATATTCTATAGATGGAATAGATGTTTTAAAAATGATTAAGTTACTTTTTGTGATACATTATATATATATATATATTTTTTTCTTCGCATAATAAACATCTAAATTGAAAATTGTTTAATTTTTATTTTGTTTCATGACAAATTTGATTCTTTCTGACTGATTAAAATTTATGAATTATTTATTTATTTTTATAAATTATCCTCGATAAATGGTATATTATTTGATCGATATGAAAAATGAAAATCTTGTAAATAGTGATTTAAAATAGTTATATATAGTTATAATTTTATAATATAAATTTTTTCTTAACAAAGATTAATTCTAATTTACAATTTATAATTAAAGATTATTGGTTATTTTTGTTATATTCGAATGATATATTAATTCAAAAATATAACGAAAGAAAATATTCCATATGTTATTAATTAAAATTTTATTCGTTATTTCATGAATTACATTAATGAAAAAATAATAAATTTTAATAATCCAATGATTCGAATGTTACATCATAACAAATTAATACTAATATTATAATATCTCTCATTAATAACAATCAATTAAATTAATCGAATCGATTAATAATTTTAACCTTGCCGTTCAATGAACAAGATATATCGAATTTATTAAGCTGAACTTTGATTAATATAATTTTCAATAAAACTATAAATGTCAATAGATTCATTAGAATGTGGATGCTTATGTAAAATTTAAATATACGTATTTCAAATTTTCATTACGATTATTATAATATAGTTTATCTTTTCCTTCAAAAATCATAAAATAGACCAAAATGAATTTTATTCCGCGCCCCAAAAACTTTATCGTATCGTGTAAAACGTTAAAAGAAACAGAAAGAGATAATTACCACAATTATTTCAATAATGTCATAATGTGATTTGAATTCACGATCATATTGTCAAAAAATTATCGTTTATAATTATACAAAACTTCTATCCTTTCCTCTAATGTTTTCGTCGAGAACGACGAGATAATCGTTCTCGAAACGGGACGTAATATCGTATTAATCTATTCGAGTCTAATCGATTTTGCATAATTGACAAGAAACTGGCGCTACCGCGGCTCCCTTCCGAGTGATCCCGATCCAACCGCGAACCCCTCATATAAATATAATTCGCACATTCTCGAGGGTGGCGCGTGTTAACATTTTCATGCGAATATACACGAACTCCTCCTAT